TAAAATGGGAGGTGGGGAAGTAAAAGGGGAGGCTCAGGCCCTCCTCTCTCTCTGCTCAATGTCCCATGGGCGTCATTTTGGCAAGGTCATCCCCGTAATCAAGCATTCCCCCGGCTGACAGCCAAATGCATAAGAGCTGCCTATTGTTCTCCTGTGTATTCTCTCAACACTGCAGTCTCTATAGCATTAACAAAATTTAAAAGCATTAAAGAAACAAGCACCATAAACATAATGTCTAATTCAATTCTGGGTTTTTTATTTTATTTTGCATTGGTAGAGATTCAACCAAAGAATGAGGATAAAAACAATCAACACCAGTCTTGTAAACCAGCTTGTGATTATCTCTGTATGTATCTTTACATTCAAGCCACTGGGACAAACTGACCTGACTTAACTTCACCAGAGTTTGGATAAATGAAAAACTCTCAAACTTCTTCTGCATTTATCGGCTGTCGCTGCACGTCTACTCGTGAAACTTTCACCTGAGGTCTTTGCAGCTGTGACCAAAGTGTAGATGAGTTTCACTTAGAAAAATCGATCTGGTCACATCTGATAGAAGAAATTTTTGCAGACAGAATAAATCATGCAGTTTCACTTAAAGTTTTAACTGTTAATCACCTGTGCAAGTTTGGTCAAAAGTTACTGTATTTTATAATATTGTCTGTCAAGTTTTTATACCCCTGGATCTGTGTGATTTCAAAGACAGAGAATTTGCTTATATTTCCAAATATGTTGGTGAGCCATTCAAAAGAGATTTCTCTTTAAGGCTGAGCTGCACCGAGGGACTGCACCCATGTCCAGCTTGGATCTGTGAGTCATGCAAAGCTACTATACGCCAGGTATAGCTGGATACGAGGAGAACAAGCCCGTGATACATGATTTATATAAACATATGTGAATGTGAATACTTTGCAAAAGCAAAGTACAAGATTGTCCAGTCACATTTGAGCAGACAGGAAAAGAGGACGTGCTGAAATGCAGTCTCAGAACTAATGGGTATTGCTTTCAAAATTATACACACATATATATATCTACATTTGTAAACAAAGCCTGGCAGCTGAAACAGGAAGTCTTGACCCAGATATCTTGTTTACACAAAAAAACTTGGCTCATGTGTCCCCACATTAGTTGTAGTGGAGCAAATCTACACTCACAGATCCAGGGCTGGATTTTTTTCCCTGTAACATTCAAATATTTTTCCAGTTTTCCACACGTTCTACAGTTACCGGCTGCTTCTTAAGCAGTTCTTCTCCATTTAACATGCCTCTTCTCCTGCATCCTGAGCTGAAACCTCTCTGTAAACCAACACAGCTGCACCACCATGAATGTCACTGCTTTCTCTGAATGTCACAGACTGAATGAATGGTCCTGCATTGCTCCTATAATAAGATAATGAGATAATAGCACTTGTCTCTGAGAGCAGAGCTGAGGGGTGCTGACAGCGAGAAAAAGAAAAATGACATTTCCATTTGGAGGACTCATAAAGGATGAAAAAGGTCAAGAGGAGGAGAACAAAAGAAACAAAAGAGAGAAGAAATTGGATTTCTGGATGTAGAGTCCTTCTCTGAAGGTGTGTTGATCCTTGCTGAGATAAAATCTAATCCTCATCTCTTATTTTTCATTTCCAAAATGAGTTTCTATATTTCTTTTTTGTTCCAAATCTCTTCCCTGAGTCACTAAGTCCTTTTCCTGCAGGGCAAACTTGTCACATTCCAACTCTGTTACACACAGTTTTACTGGAGTCTACTGTTGGTTGATGCATCATGACTGTAGCCAAATTTAGACCAGTGCACTGTGATGACAGAATATTCAGCCTCGGTGGGAAGAGGCGCCTCATAAATATCAGGAAATTGGTTTGTGGGTCTAAGAAAAACACTTCATTTAAACTTTGAAAATTGAAAGCGTCATGTGTCCAGCTGAATTCCTGATAATTTAATAAAACAATAGCTTAGTTAAGTTTAGCAGTTACAAAATTTCTATGTGATATGTTAAACAATAGAAAAAGGAAATCTGTCATTATAAGAGCAAAGAGCAACAACAGAGAGTTGAGAATATAGACAAAAAAAAAACATAGCAGACAGATTCACTACAATATGTGCTTGTTTACTGTAAAGAAAAAACTACTAAACAAAGTGTATATGACATGAAATCTAATGAAGGAATAAAGAAGTAAAAGTGGCTTCACTGTTTCACATATTTCCAATGTCCACATAACACATCGAATATCTAACTGATGCTTTGAGAAGTCAATATGACTGGAAGAGCTCAGTGTAAATGAGCTTCACTTACAATTTACACCCAGGGTTTGTCTGTCAAGGTCTTTTGATAGAGGCCTCAAGCAAGTACTTCTTTTTTCATGAATGAATGCAACAATATGAATTCATTTCTACAGGAACAGTTTTCCATTATCATCACATGTAAAGGCCTTCTCTCCTAAAATGTCATTTATACATTATTCATTAGATCTCTCTGACCTTTGACCACCAATGTACAGAAGGGTATTAATTGTGTTCTTTATTTAGATCTGCTGAAATCTGAACATTTTTCCTATTTGAATTTCTTGAGTTTACAGTACATATCTGCATATCACAACTAGTCTGGAATACAGATCCTAGTTGAATAATCACATTAGAAACCCAAAAGCAGCACAGAAACATCTTGTATCCAGTAACTAAAATGGCCATATGGTTACAGATTACGTATTTCCGAGTCTGTCCTTTGTGCATGCAGTTTTTTCTGATTCATAGTTGGATTTTTTAGTGACAGCACTCTGAAGAGACCGTAGGAAAGAAATAATACGCTGATGCTATGCAGGATGGATTGATGGATGGCTGGGAGGAGGTGTAAATTTTTATCTTAAAAACAACCTAGTCAACCTGTTTTGTGTGTGTTATATGTGTAGTTGTATATAATTAAGAGTCTCTGTTTCTATTCGATTCATTCTGACCCGCAGTCTGCTTGTTTTTGATTGATTACTATTGATATATTCATGTCATTTTAAAGACAAAGGAAAATGTTCCTTTTGGTCTGAGCATCCTCAGCATTTTGGGCAGTTTTAAAAGACAAACCTGTGTTTGCAGCTAGAACAATGATTTCTTTATTTATTTTAACTTGTGGCAGTTGTCTGTTTCTGTTTCTGTCTCAGTTCTTTGTTGTTTTTCATGCTGCATTTTTGGCCACATCTTTTCTGGAATATTAACAGAGAAATCTGTGCCCGGCCTGGTACCGTTCCTTCTTTGTGTCTTTCTTCCTTACTGACAAAGCAGGGCGGGATACATTCCAGCTCCACATAATTCTTTTAACCCACTAATTTTGGGGATAAGAAAATGAAATGATGAATAAAAAGATATCCACATGTACGGAAAATGGCCGTATCAGCAGAATGTTGACCTGATCAGAAGTGCTGAAGTCAAAGTGAATGAAGAACCAGATGGGACGAATAAGAGGAGGGGATGTGCCAGGACTGCACTCATATGGCACATCCGTCATCCCCTTGTTAGCATCTTGGCATGCAAACACACACACACACACACTTCTACAAACACGCACACACAAGCATTTAGGCCAGACAGCTTGCTGGGCCAGATGGCCTCTTGGTGAGGAGCAACGAGGAGCTTCACAAGAGCATTGGGGTGATTTGTGAACCATAACCTCCACACGTCCCTCCTCCTGACTCCAAGCAGCACGCACACAGCAGAGGGGTGGACGGTGAAAAAGAATTGTATAATTTTACATTACCCATACTCCTACATGATCATTGATTGTGATTTCATGTGGAACTACTGCATAAATGAACCTAAACATATTTTTATTGATGTGAGAAAATCTAAGTGTAGGCATCCAACACCGTAGTCTTACACGTGAACAGTCATAGTAAATAAAAACATCCAAAAAGAGAAATCAGTGGTTGGGTTCAAGGAAGGAAGGAAGCCAAAGAGTTTACATAAATCATATAAATTGAAAGCTGCTGGTTCACCATATAAACTTAACCGTAGCACTTAAATAATATAGTAATGATGATAGTAAAGACTTGAAGATTTTGTTGTTGTTGGCTTTTCTGTCATATCTGCAGCTGTACTTGAGCTAATCGATTTATTTAAACAGGCAAATTGTCAGTTAAGCAGTTTCTTTGCATGTAATCAGCATACATCATGAGTTAGCAAATACAGCTGTCATTTATGACTGAAAAATGGCAGTCTACCCCCTTCATATTGCCTTCTAGCTCTCTCACACATGTGTGTGTGTGTGTATGTGTGTGTGTGCGTGTGTCCATTCATGAGACTACTATCCAGAAAAGGAGTAAGCAGGTGGGACACGTGGGTGCAGCCACAGCAGAGAAGATTCATCACAGCTTGGCGTGTGTGTGTGTGTGTTTAACAGTGTGTATTTTCTTTGTCCTGCTTTTTCTTAGTTACAAACAACTGATAAACATACAAATACTGAACTGGTTCCTGAGTGGTTCCTGGTATATTCCTCAGATTGTATGTTTTTTTATTTTATTATTTTCCTGTTTTTTTTTTTTCCAGCTAATATCCTGATGTGGCAGTTAAACAGCTGGACTGGGTTAAGCAGTCATAGTACCATTAAATAAAAAATGCACTCTTGGAATCCCAAAAAATGAAATTGAGAGCATTTTATAAGTTTATAAAAATGTGAGAATCATCAGAGAAAATATCTGAAAGTGTATTTTTATTTGTTCCAATTGAGTTTTTATTTTTAAAACCCTAAGCTAGCCGTAAGCTAAATAATCATATACATATACTGTCAGCATAGTTACTGTGCAAAAAAATTAGGCAAGGAGCTAAAACAGGACCTGAGAGATGAATCTGAGTGTTCAGTTGATCCATCGACTGATAGAGGAATCTGAATTTGAAATTTTTGGTTAAAATCGTCAGGAGAGAGGTACAGCAGTGAATGTCTATATCCATCAGTAAAAAAGTCACATTTCTTTTAAGGCATCTTAATCGTTCTATATCTTCCTTCTCTGTTTGTCTCTGCAGTGTCAGATTTCCCAGGCGCTGAACGGCGTCTCTGACAAAGCTAAAGATGCCAAGGAGTTCCTGGTTCAACTCAAAAACATGCTTCAGCAGATACAGGTAACAACACACCTTTACATTTAATTTTACATAAAATATGCTGTTAGTAATCCAGTCTGTAAATTTAGGTACAAGTATAGATCAAAGGTTTGTGACAATGGCTTAATAGCATGATAGTCACATCAGTGATGGGCAGTTTTCTTCACAAAAAGACACAAAAACCTACCAGCTTCCTTCTAGTATCAACTTCCTAGTACAACACTAAATGTTTTTTTCATTCAGTAACTGACCATAAGTACTCACAGTGACCAACTGATTGCACAGAGGTTGAGAGAAGAAAATGGCCAGACTTCTTCGAGCTTTGAACAGTAACTCAAATTACTTGTTACAACCAAACTATGCAAAAAGGGATCTCCGAATAGATTCATATGCACAACATATGAATCTATACTACGCTGTATCAATGGTTCGTGTTGCTGCTGGTGATCTAATGGTGTGGGAAATATTTTTGCAGCATACTTTGGACCCCTAATTACCCCTTTAAACACCATAGCTTACCCTGAATATTGTTATTGAGCATGTAAGTACCCTTCTGATGGCTGCTTCCAGCAGAATAACGTGGCATGTCACAAAGCTCACATCATCTCAACCCGTCTTTTGATAAACTGATGCACACCAGCCGATCGGTTGCCATGCATTGCCAATCCATCTACATTTGTCAGTTATTGCAAATCTTTACCAATCGATCCAAGAATGATTGCAGTCATTTTGAGTTGAACTGAAATTGTCTCCAACTAGTGCAAATGCTTTGTAATCAAAAGTTTCCACACTCAACCTCTGGGCAACCAGACGACCAAGTGATTACCCAGAGGATGAGAAAATGAGCGCAATGGCCACTGCAACTACTTGTGCTCATTTGCTGAATGTAAAAAGAATCAATGCAATCACTGGGAAACCACCGATTTTTCTTAGTTGCAAAGAGTTTGCCAGCTTTCTTTTACTCTAGTATGACTTGGCCATAACATTAGCAACTGTATCCCACAATGCAATGCAATGGCAAAACAAAAAGGAAGGATCTGTTCACATCTAAATATCAGTGGTAGGGAAATTTTTTATTTTTTGGGGGTTACAAAAACAAGACCATTTGAGAAATAGGAATAAATCAACATTTTGTTTTGTTTTTTCAAGTTTTGTATGGAAGTAAGAAGAGAAAAATCTCAGAACTGTCAGCTATTACCCTTCCTCTGAGGAATGAAACTGTTTCCAGCAGAAAAATAAGATATTCTATTTCTCCAAGAACGTTATGTTTGGCAGGTGATGTTTTGTGGCCAATGAATGACTGATCTGTGTCATGAGCAAATGCATAAATAGGGTAAAGTAGTGCTGCAACAGCTGCATGTGTGTGATTAGGCATACACAATGTCTGACTTTGGCACTGGAAACATCTGGGTATTAGCTCATTTTGTTGTGTTTGCATAAAATGAATCTCTGAGAGATTTAACGACTCCATAAAGATAGCCTGGATGAATTTAAGAATAGAATAGCTTTTGTTAGTGCAGAATTTGGGGATTTTTATCATAAGTGGCAAATAATGTCATTAAAAAACAAATAAAACAAACTCAGGATAATAAATCTCTGCAAGCAAACTGAACAAAGACTTTGACTAGGAATGGGAGACACAAAATGGGACCTTAAGGAAGTAGGAATTATTTACTAGTAAGTTAGTAAGACTTATCTTTATTAGCAAGTCAGCACTACAGAGTATGTTGGATGGGTGGATGTCTGTGGAGAGCAAAAGAAACCGAAATGCATGCTAGTGCAGTTTCATGCAGAGGGTATCCTCCCCTGAGAGTGTCAGAGAGTGGCTGTCAGGAACGAAGGAGCTTTTGTAGCTGAGCGCAGCAGGTTCGGGTGCATCTCGTGCAGCTCATCGCCCTCTGATCAGGACTCGCGTGACAAAGCACAGCAGAACTATGAACCAGAGATCTCTGGATGGTGAAGGGGTCGTCACAGCAAATGACTAGATTAAAAAGCATGTGCTGGACTTGTTAAGCCACCATTAATGATGAAATAGACACTCACTGACCACTTTGTTAGACATACCTGATGAACTGCTCATTAATGCAAATATATAGCCAGCTAATCACATGACAGGAACTCATCTTAAACTGATGAGGTTGAAACTGAGCATCAGAATGAGAAAGACTGGGGATGTAAGTGACTCTGAAGTGGCTTCAGGGTGCTTGTGCTTACGTAATGATATAGAGGATACTTTCATGGATACTTTGAGCCCCTTAGTGCCTTAGTTTAAAGCTACCTTCTAAATGCACCTCATTTTGGATTATTTTTATATCGCTTATGTGGCAGTTTCTGAGTGCAGTAATAGATTATGTATTTAGTTATTCAGGAAATTTACTGAAATCTGCGGTTTCTAGAGGCAAACATGTTCAAACTGCCTATTAAAAAGCTATTTCAGGGCTTCCATGCTTTGTTTAGATGTTTCTCCATAAGCATGATGAGACAGACGTCTGGCTGTATCAGACTGCACCACAGCTGATATCCACGTCTGATCATTTCTGCACATGTAGATATTGTTTGCAAAATTTACTCTACATTGCCACTGTTATTTTAAGACTGCATTAATCATGCTTTGGGGAACTCCCTGGTAATGTACAGTAAGCTCACAGAGCAACATTTGGACTCGACACTCAGCAGCAAAGAAGCAAATCCATAGAATCAATAAACCAAAAACAAAACATACCATCCAAATGTGTGCATTTGTGTGAGCATTCCCTCTAGACAGCATTACCGTGCAGCTGATCTCTCCAGCAGCGTCTACCAGTCATGCACACAAAGCACACACACGTTTTTACACACTGTCTGCACTGATATATCCTACAGCACCACGAGTGGGCATTAAGAGTCTTATTACAAAACGAAGAGCATTTAGCTTTTTTTAAAAAAAGCAGTCTTATCTTTACTCTGCTCTGTCTGAGACAAGGAAAAAAAGAGCTAGATGGGCAAAGAGAAAGTAGAATGTAGGATTGAGGAGAAATATCTCCAGTGCTCCTCGGGCTCTAAACAGTGACTGAGCAGAGGAACCTTCACTGGAAATCACTACTGAACCCTTATCTCATTATCAAGTGGGCTTTGTAGGGAGATAAAACTCCCCTCTGGATCATTGCCTCATTTACAACCTGTTTTTATATCTACTGGAAGGAAAAAGTAAATGACACACCATCTTAATTATCAACATCTTAAATGCTACAAAACATCTCAAATTATATGCTGACAAGTGTCTGTTGGAAATGAATGGCCAAAAGCAACAAGAACAACACTCAACATATCCAAGTTTAATATTTTGAAATTCATTTATCTGTATTGTGTTATTGTGAGTTTCTCCTCTGGGCTTTTTTCGGTTTTAATTTAAGTTTTTTTCTCTGGTGTCTTCATTTTTGACTTCCTGTTTTTCTGACTGCCTTGACTGTTTTCGCACGTGTGTTCGTCCTCTCCCTGTTTTTAAATAGTCTCAGTCTTATCTTTGTCACGTTGTAATGTTTCTTATCCTCTGTGTGCTGCAAGCTTCCTTCCTTTGTGTTTAACCTCTGGCATCTCGTGTTCATCTAATTTGATTTCTTTGGAGTTATAGCTGAGTAATTATGAATTTGGGTCCTAAATTACAGTTGTACACGTTTGATTTTCCAATTAGCAATGTTTGACTGATGTTGACATGCAACTGTATTACACAAATAGGGATTTGCATAATAAGTTCAAAACAGCCACCAGCCCATGTGTGCTGTATTTATAATGCTTTTGATTTAGTCCCTGCTGTATTTGCAGATTTTCTCGTGCTCGCCCTGCCTTCTGTGTCCTTCTGATATGAAGATAAACTAACGCTAACCTAACACAACCATCATGCACTGAGCGTTTCCACTCCATTCCCACCCTTTTGCAATTTGATCATCTGAAGAACGTTTTTGAATTTCAAGCGTAATGCAATGAAGCCTTTTCAGCTGCAGATGTCTGCTCATACTCTATCATTGCATTCTGTTTGCTGGCCCAAAGAAAAAGCTGCTAACTGTCAGGGAATATTAGTAAATTGAAACACAAAACCACAATTATAAGTGACAGGACGGCCTTTTCATGTGTTGCATCTTGAGGGGAAAATGGTGGCAAGTATGGTTGTACAAATGGATGGTAAATACGATGAAAGGCTTGCTTTTGTGTGCGGTGTATTGAAATAATTAATGCTGTATTTATTTGTGGTGTTGCAGCTGAAGCAAAAATAGAACATAATGTGGTGGGCTAAATGAATGGGTAACAAACAGTGTGCTGCTAATTGAAGAAAAACAAGCCAAGTGATCTATTTTCGTCTCAGTGCTTTGCTTTTGTGATCCAAACCCATAACGATGCTCACTTTAGAACACTTTAATGTAGATTTATTTTGGCAGGGAAGCCAAACATGGTGGTTTCATGAGTTAATATTACTTGTTCACTTTCTTTAATCAATTCATAACGACTGTGCTGTTTCGTCTTTCTTCTTCAGGAGAACGGTGTGGAGTTTGAAGCTTGCCTCGTGGCTCAGTGTGACTCTCTGATCGAGGCGCTGACCAGACAGAAAGCCAAACTGCTCACGAAAGTAACCAAGGAGAAGGAGTACAAACTAAAGGTAAGCTTGGTTGATGAACGCTGTTCCTTCCGCTTCTCAGTAAAGTCGACTGCTGATATAAATCAGCAGATTTAACCCTAACCCCTAACCCTAAAACAGCTGGTGTGAGGAGGATATGAGAAATTATAATCTAATCCAAAAAGACTCCAAATTTTTATTTAACATGTTCAAAAAGCCACAATATGTATGCTAAAAACAGGGTTTTAATCATTAAAATCTAGATGTCTGCTTGTCTAATAATTTCTCTTTGTGCTTTATCAATTTTCTTCAAGCAAATCTGCAACAGTGAATCACACTGCGCCTCTCGTTTCCTCTTCCAGCCCTTTATGTCCATATCTAGATATCACCAGCCCCACCGTTATGAGTAGATTAGCTGATGTGAACCCGCCACTGTTGATCTAACTTTAGCTTAAAATCACACGCTCACAAAGATCCTCATCAATAGCGAGACGTTGATTAGAAAAGTATGCTTTCAGGAATTTAAGTACCAGAAAGAAATTGCTGTCTCAGCTCGCTACCAGAATAAATTCTCTCTTGCAGCTTAGTCTTTTTTTTCATGATTTGCCTCTGTAAATCCACCCTGAGTTTATGTATCACATGGATGCCTGCCCAGCCTCAACGTGCCCGCCGACCGACTGACCGTCTGGCCGGCTGCTGGTTGGGGAGGGGTGAGGAAGAGGAGGAGAAGGAGGAGTGGAGGGTATTTGGATGGAAGCCCCAAGGACAGCTGTTGTCATTATCTGGAGGCTGGGGATCGAGATTTAGCCAGAGGGCAAAGAGCCGCAGGCTGCAAGGAAGCTGGAATAAGAGAAGAATAGCTGGTTGTAGACGGCTGATAAAGCAATGCTAAAATCTTCACTACAATAAATACTGATTAACTGATACAGCAATTTAACTAGAGGCTCCTCTTCATGGTGAGAAGAGTACTGACTTTACAGTTGGATAGATAAGCATCTGCGGCACTACCTCTCCTTAAAATTACATTAATTTAACTGATTTAAAACAAAACATACTTTTAAGGAAATTTACGCCAAACTAATAATGTTTTTTACTAACAGAGAGAAAAATATATCTTTAATATCTCTGTAAATTTCCACAGTGTTCCATTTAATGTTTTTCCACCAAAATATTGAATCGTGAAGCTTGATACTCGCTACAGCATTATACTGGTTTTATGGCTGTGCTTAGGCACTCAAAGCCAGAATATAACATAATTACAAAAGACCGATGCAGCCATTATGGTGCCTTGATTCATTATTGCTTTTACATTTTGGCTGTTTGGAGCCAGATCTGGTCATAGTTGGATGTGAGGTTGGAGTACTAAGTTAATAATTCAGAATCAGCTAATGTAATGCAAGTATTGCAAAGACACAGATACTTTCTGATACAGGCTAAGTACTTTCAACCTGACCAAAGTACTTTTTGGATGGCCTGTGAGTATGACTGGTACTCATACAACCTCACAGAAAGCCACATTCAGTTTGAGACTGCATGTGTATATATATTGCAGCTTCGTATCAGTCTCACAGCTTCCACCCACATGCCCAAAAAGTAGCAGCTCACATTTCACAACACTATAGTGTGAACTCGGAGTCATTTAGGTATTAAGGCATGTCAAATATTAAAGTGTCATTTTGCACGTTATTTGTAGGTTTTCACATTACACCCACTTCTCAGATACAAGCAGTGCATACATACTATACTGTGTATAACTGCAGTTTAAGTACAAGCAATAGGCTGTTACAGTCTTTATTTGTTTTTTGCTAATTCTTCTATGACTATAAAAATTGTACAATTAGAATGTCAACATTTATATTTTGGAAATATTTGTGTTTCCAGATCTTGGGATATTACATGTTGTAGACATAACATTTTCTCTCCCTGCTTTTCTTATTTTCATTTCTAAATAGATCGTGTTGTGACGAAAACACGAGGGCCGAAATCTCGAAGCCGTGGATTAGTTTAGTTGCAAAACTGAGTTGAATGCAAGGAAAAGGGTGATAGTGAAAGATTGAGAATCAACATGTGAGTTGAGTGTAGAGTTGAGAGGATCACACAAATCTCACTGTGATTATTGTGTAAGAGGGGTTTAGAAGGCAGAGAATAAAAATTTGACCAGGAAACAAAGAAACCCCACAAAATACTCAAACATTAACTAAGCTTTTTTTTTGTTGTTGTTGTTTTTTACAGGATAAAGAGACCTGTTTGATTTTCCATCATCAAATAAAAACCTGTAAAGGAATATAGACTAGATGTTCTCACACTCAAATACTCGAGGGCTATAATGTTATAGTTGTTACAGTCAGAAGCCTTTAAAAAAAATCAAACCTGCCATTTTTGTGCTGCTGATTAATATCTTCAAGTCTGACCATTATTGTAAGAGGCTAAGTGCTGTCTTTGTTTGCTGCTAATTGAGAAGGTACCTTAAGAATTTTATGTTAAATAACACATTTAATAAAATATAAGTAACACAAGTAGAAACAAAAAGCCCAATAGCAAGCATGACGAGCATTTCATTTCTTGTAAACAGCCAAGAAGGTTTTATGAGTATTTTAGTGCTTTTTTATGCTCTACATTATGAGTTTCAATTTATACTTGACATTTAGTCTAAAGTGTACTGAAAATAGATGTCAATAAAAATATTTTTGCTCTAACCTGAAATGAAATGTGATTCAGTGTCTGCTGAAGAGGCTGTGAGATATACCTCCAGTGAGGTGCATTCAATTACCGTGTTTCAATATCTGAACCCTTAAATTCATTTCAGATTCATGTGGAACATACGGGAAAAGCCCATCAGCCGGGGCTGCAGGAGCATGTGGGAGGGAGTTGACGGCAAGTCTCAGCGGGACAGAAAGCAATTGAAATAAATCTGAGATTTACTCAAGCGTCACGCCTCATACTTCATGTTGTTTGCACGGAGGATAAAAGCGACGGTTCGGCAACGTGATTTGAAAAACAAATTTTCTCTTGGGAAATAATTTGAGTATGTGCATATTTTAAGTTGCACCTTTAGTAGACTTGTACAGTATGAGTGCAAATAAGAGAAAAACTAAGAAAAAAGGGAGTGACATGACATCAAATACAAATACATGGATATTTCATGTGAGATAAGAAAACTTACTAAACGGATAAAATGCAAGAAAATATTTAGAAATTTCCTAAATTGTCATGGTCTTCATATTTCAACTCAGACAACAGATGACAGGTGAATAATTGATCTCATAAACCATCAAATAAAAGAAGACTAATTACCACAACTGCACCTAATTAACTCTCTGATCCATTTCGACGGCCATTGGTGAACTCTAGAATTAATTATTTTGGATGCAGACAAGTTTCAAAATATTTTCTGTCTAATCTCTTGCTTAAACTTTAAAGCCTGACGTGTGTGTGTGTGTTACACGCGGAGTATAATGATATCAGTAGTACTATGAGCTGAGGATTAAAGATTGCTCGTGAGTTAAAAGTGGTGCAGCTTGATTGCAAGAAAACAAAAGGTTAATAAAGCGATGACAGGTTGCAGACTTTCAATTAGCCCCAAAACGGCTGACTGCGACACACGTCCAAATCTCATTTCCCCTGGCTCGGGGTTCAGCCAGCAGACGGCATGTGTCTGGTGTCTGTGTGAAAGAGAGACTGAATGAAAAACAGAAAAGTGCGTTTGTCTGGTTGCGGCTGATAATGTTTCTGTGAAATTTATGAGAGATCAACAGATCGATTCCAGTTGTGGCATTATGGTGTCACGCTGTCAGACAGTCTTTAATTAATCCTTGACTGTTTTGCATGCCAGCCACTAACTCGTCTTTTGTGTCAGCCAGTTCCAACTGCTCATGTTCTGCTCCCTAATTACACTCCCAGTGCACATATAACAACCTGCTGCCAAGCTCAAAAATCAGTGTGATCCTGAGCTGGCAGTTCTGAACTTTTTTAGCGTGGTGCCACTTTTCTTCATTCATTACCTCCCATTCTTAATGAACTGTATTATTACTGAACTAATCTTAAGCGTCATTGTCGTTAACCGCCGAGAAAAGGTTGACCAGCGTGAAAAAGTGGACTCAATGGACACCATTTACAGCTTTTGATTGTATCACAGATTAAATTGTTGTTTAAGTCCACCTCTTTGTATTACTGAGCATTTGAGAGAATTTCTCAAGTTCACTCTGAAATTAGCAATATTTCTGCTGAACACAACGTAGTTGTAATTCAGTAAAAGGACTAGATGTTACAATCCCTGATAATGCATGGCTTTAAATGGAGAAAATCTTGAGGAATGGCTGTTATGAGGAAAGGCAGCCCAGAAACTTTACCAGCGGCACACATCGTTATGCCTCAACTTTCGGTCTTTGTCCCAAGCTAATCTGCCTTTTTCCCCCCCTTGGTTAGGTTTAGGGATTAGAGATCTGATCTAGATTATCATATTAAATTTTGAGACGCATCATCAGTAGTGGACCTTGGATTCATCGGGTGTTTCGGCCATTATCACTAGACACCCTCATCCAAGGAGGCCCTGCCAGGGTTGATCAGGCCCCGGAGTGTGTCACTGGTTTACGTTAAATTATTTCTCTTCTTCTTTCTTCTGTTTAGTTTTCTACAGTTTATGCGCCTGAGTGTCGCTGGGACACATATAATGATATAATACCATATTGATGCTAAAGTTGTTAAAGTGAACCCAACAATCGACATGAAGGAATGGACAGACTGCCAGGGGGCTTAAATAACTTGGTACACCCGAGAAAAGCAGGGGAAAAAATTCCAAATAAGGTAACGAGAAAAAACAAACCGACACTAAACAAAATGAGGCACAAATTGAGACAGTCTTGTAGAAACCCCTCATCTTTTAACAAGAAAAAGGGTAATGCGGCACAAGTGAACTCAATCAGGCAATAAGGTTGGAAAGAGAACAAAGGTAGGAAATTAAAAACAAAACGGAAAGATGAGGAAACAACTTTTTAAAGCAAGAGGATATAAATGAAAGAGAATAAACTCATGCAGGCAATGGAAGACACTAACAGGGGGCAAAGGAAGGCTCGGGGAAAAGGTCATACATCAGAGTCTTTCAGAGTCTTTCACTTGTACAAAATCATTGAAACTGATACAATTAAACATAGTGAAAATATTCCAGATGCTCATCTCAGAATAATTGCTTTTAACAACTCATGCATCTGATCTGTTTTGTTCAGGTGGTACGTGACCAGATCACACACTGCACTATGAAGCTACGGCAGACCACCGGCATGATGGAGTACTGTCTAGAAGTCCTCAAAGAGAATGATCCAAGTGGTTTCCTCCAGGTATTTTACACACCTCATGTTTGTGCGTGTGAGACGAGTATGAAGATGAGTATGAAGATGAGTATGAAGATGAGTAACGGGATGTTACAAAGACAAAAAGAACACAAAAAAACAACAATTTCAGTTAATCATTATCTAAAAACTATTAAACATCTAAAACAACCAAACATCAGCACAAAAACAGCGTGTGGCAGAGTACATTCCTTCTTATGCTGAGGCCAGGGGAATTATGTTACTTAAATAAGTAAAGCACAAGACAAAAACAGTATGAGGTCTTACTCAAGATTAAAAATCAAGCCAAATCAAATCTCTTTCTGAGATATTTGGAACCAAAAAATGTAAATGAAGGTAGGAAGGAAGCGTGACACACAGATCCTCTGAGCACATTAGGAGAAATCAGCTTCACGGGGAGCCTCTGATGTTTGTTGAATCGGCACAGCCAAAAAAACAAGCAAACCATGGCGTAGCAGAGGAAGGAGTCAGCACGGAGAACAGCAACAACAACAACCCCACATGCCTGCCTGCACTTCAGCACCACAGTCACAGCAACATGCATCTTATTTTAATACATCTGCAGCTGATCTATTTTGAATCTACATGCCTAGTAATCAATAGGTTGACATGCTCAGTAGCTAATAAATAATTATTGATCTTTGTATGTATAGATGGAGAAACGTGACCTGCTCAGAAGAAATAAATGTTGGTTTAAAGGTTTCCTGCAGAAAGCTAAATCATGAAGACTTTTCAAGACCATCAGATTTTTTTCTTCATCTTTAAATCTGTCTCGAGTCCCAGCTCATGCAGAGTCTGGGCTTTATATCAAAGTTCACACAACTCTCTCAGGAAACAAAAAAGGCTTTATACAACTTTATTTGCATATCTTTAGTAGTATATATCAAAAACGCTATATCTGGATGTGTGAAATCAGGAGGAGGTCTTTTTTGAAATTTGAAATAGAAAAAATATTCAGTATTCGTGTCACTACTGGAAATACTTCCTTTCCTTATGTGTTAGGTGGTACGCCTGGATAGAGCACGCATGTGATAGAGGAAGGGCACATGACACCCACTTACTCAACAATGACCTGCTCCCACAGACTCAGGATGCTGTGCATGTGCAGAAATATTTGTAGTGTATCAGCAAACATCTACGGGGGCATATTACAGCCACAGAGGGCAAGAAAAAAGAAAAAAGAAACCAACACAACAGCAAAAAAAGTTGGGTTTTATTTTTTGTGTAAAGGAACACTTCAAGGTTAAGTTGTAAAGAAAGTCATTATTTGAGGTTCTGGGATCAATAACTTATAAAACACATTATTAGACGCCAACGACAGATCTATCCGATAAGGTCGATAAAGCAGACCAGAAGCCACAAGCTCATTTTCAATAAAACCTGTCATCCTCTAACCTTGACTAAAAACACATTTAATAATGTTTAATTACATTTCTCAAGTCTTACAAATTATTGATTTTAAATAACAAAAACAAAACAACAAAAAACAAACAAAAGTACGACGACAATACAGGACTATTCTATTCTATTCTATTCTATTCTATTCTATTCTGAAGGAGTTCAAATATGTAATTTTATTCCAACTTAAACTTGAAAAATAAAGCAATACAGTTACATGAATTATTTCTTCATCTTTGTTCTTGTAAATTTCAGCTGTTTGATCAAAATTCACAATTTTAAATCTTGATATTTAAATGTTTGTTTTTTTTTACCTTGAGTGGCCTTCATATGCAGTCATAAATGTGCCTTTATGGTACTGAATAAAAACACACATGATCTCCAGATATTCCAGAAAATAAGCTTCCTTTTTCTTTACCCATTCTGAAGCATAAGCAGTGTTGGGTAAGTTACTTTAAATTAGTAACTTAGTTACATTACTAGTTACTTCTATCAAAAGTAACCCAGTTACTTTC